CTAAATATTTATTTTTGAGAAAGGATCTTGCTAAGTTGCAGTTCTGCCTCAGCCTCTAAAGTTGCTGGAATTGCAGGTGTTTACCACCACACCCAGTAAGAGAATGGTTTTTAAAACTATTTTATGAAGCTAGATATAGTGGTGCATGCCTGTAATCCCATGGCTTGGGAGGCTAAGACAGGAGGATCTTGGGTTCAAAGCCAGCCTCAGCAAACAGCAAGGCACTAAGCAACTCAGTGAGACCCTGTGAAAAATAATGATATGTGAAAAATAATGATAAATGTTTATGTTAAAAGGAAACAAGCTTTTTAGCTCTTTGGACTTGATAGGGAAGGCAAATGATAAGTGCCCTAGGAAGGAATAAGCAGTTACCAGAGAATGAGGCAAGAGAATGAGGAGCTCCATTGGTTTCCAGACTACTGATAGAAAGTGACTGGATTGTGGTGGTGCTGCTGGAATGGATAGAGCAGGCTTGTCCAGAGCTACGAAGCAGGTAAAATCAAGAGGACTAGCTGGAGGTGCAGCTCTGTGGTGGAACACTTGCTTGGCATACATGAGGCCCTGGTTTTGATCCTTAGCATCACAAAAAGACCAGGAAAAGCAATCATTTTGGCCTGGGATCACAGCTCAATAGTTGAGTGTTTACTTAACATATGTTTGGCATATACAGAGAATTCAGTGGACTGACTGGGGAAGGATGTGTGAAGGGTATATTCAGTGTTGTTTTTTTTTTTAATATTTATTTTTTTAGTTGTAGTTGGAAACAATATATTTATTTCACTTATTTATTCTTATGTGGTGTTGAGGATCGAACCCAGGGTCTCACACATGCGAGGTGAGCGCCCTAGCACTGAGCCACAACCCCAGCCCCATGTATTCAGTGTTTTTAACAGCGAAGAGAGGAGCCCTTCACTGTGCTATACATCCCTGGAGATAATCCAGTTTAAGGATCAGGCTAGAACTTTGGTTTGGAATCTGCTATAGATGTTGAACAGAGATATCAGATCAATAATTGAAAGGTTGGGCCTGGAGATACCAGCATGAAGGTCATCTGTGTATAGGGTAAGAAGGGCATTTGGTTGAGTACCCTTGAGTTTAATCCCTAGTACCAAAAAAAAAATTTTTTTATATGATCTGGGCACAGTGGCATACACTTATATGTAATCCCAGTGAGGGAGACCAAGGCAGGAGAGTTTCTTGCTTTCTTAGCTTCTTCTAAGGAAGCTAAGGACAGTCTCCAGTGAGAAGAGAAACTCTAGGATGGAGTTTTAAGAAACTGCCTTTACTGACTGGGTAGAGTACAATGAGCCTTAAAGGGAAAAAGAGGGCTGGGGTTGTGGTGCTTGCCTAGTATGTGTGAGGCCCTAGGTTCAATCCTCAGCATCACACTGGGGGGAAAATTTTTTTAAAAAAAAAGATAAATAAGTAAAAATAAAGTGTCTCCATCCATAACTAAACAACAACAACAACAACAAAAACTGGGCATGATGGCGCACACCTCTAATCCCAGCAGGAGGATTATGAGTTCAAAGCAAACTTCAGCAACTTTGTGAGGCCCTAAGCAACTCAGAGAAACACTGTTTGAAAAAATAAATAGGACGGGAGGGATGTTGCTCAGTTGTAAACTCCTGTGGGGTTCAAAACCTGGTACCAAAAAAAAAAAAATGCTGAGGCAGGAAAACCAAAAGTTCAGGGCCAGCCCAGCCTCAGCAATTTAGCTGGGCTTTAAATAACTTAGTGATTCAATTCCCTATCTCAAAATAAAAAGAAAGGCTGGAGATACAACTCAGAGATAAAGCACTCCTGGCTTCACTCTCCCCAAAAAAAAGAGAGAGAAAAGAAAATGAGAAAAAAAAGATACTAACTGAATGGGGATGAGGGGGTCATTTGGGAGGATTAGGTAGGAGAGGGATGTATGAGTGGATGTAAGTCTTTGATAATTTTTTTTAGCTTGGAGTGATTTCATACTTGGTCATTATATTGTGGGGCTTTTTAAAATTCTTTTAGTTGTAGTTGGAAACAATATCTTTATTTTATTTATTTTTATGAGGTACCGAGGTTTGAACCCAGAACCTTGTACGTCCTAGGCGAGTACTCTACTGCTGAGCCACCAGCCCCAGCCCCATATATTGTGTTTTATAATTAATGTGTTTCAAATCCTTTGCATGTATGAAATAATATATTAAAAATAACAACAGAAAGCTTTTTAGCAAATAGATTTACTATTCATTCATGTACAGACCTAGAACTCTGATCTCATCTCTTGTTCAGTATACTTTACCCTCACACCACACTGCAGTATCCAGTGACCTTACCTCCTGCTTATTGTCCAGCAAATTTCCCCCAATCCATCTTCTCTGCCCTAGTTTGTTAAATAATTTGCCTCTGTAGGGTTCTCATGCAGACAGAGTATGTGGGCTGGGCAGTATCACCAGGGTCAGGAGGGTGATGTCTCAACCCATTAGCTCCTGCAGCTTGATATGCAGTTCAATCAGAGCAAGAGGCAGTTCTTTTTACATTATTCAAATTTAGACAAACCTGCATTTATATCAGAAAATCAGAGAATTTATTATAATTAGGCTATCCCTAATAGCTTCATTTT